CTATCTATCTATCTATCTATCTATCTATCTATCTATCTATCCATCTATCTATCTATCTTATCTTTCCACAAATTTTTTTTTACAACCTCCGCTTAATAGTTGCAGTAAGAGCAAGAGTAGACTTTTCCTGATGCTGAAATTATACTGGCACCTACATATAACACACTTACATGCATTTTTCACACACATATATACATACAAACACACATACATACATTCATATACAGACACTTTTCTGTTTCCTAGTCATTTTAAGTTATAAAATGTAGGAAAACTTAAGCAGAATGTTAATCTGAGAAAAATAACTTGGGAGTATATAAAGAAATGTACAGGTAGTCCTCGGTTAACCATTCTTTCAGCAACCATTGAATGTTATAATGTCACTGAATGAGCAAACTTGGGATTAGTTCTTGAAGTTACAACTGTCACAATATCCCTCTGATCATGTAAGGTGCTTGGCAACTTAAAACTTATAATTATGACAGTCGCAGTGTCCTGTGGTCATATGTTTGCCATTTGGAACTTTTGCTGCCAAATTCCAACAAGCAAAGGAGGCTAGCAGGATGTGTAAATGATGATCAGTTGATGACACACTTAATGACTATGTGGGATTTTCCTAAGAATGACAAGTAGAACTACCAGAACTATCATTGTAAATTGTCACACTAACATCACACTCTATGAGTCTGTAGAGATTCTCAGTCATCCAGGTCATGATGTCCGAAAGATGCTTTTTCAGGAGGCAACTGAACTTTCTTGGGGTTTTTTTTATTTGAAGGTGTTTCGCTTCTCACCCAAGAAGCTTCTTTTGCTTTCCTGTCAGAGCTGGAGATTTTTTTTGGGATGAGAAGTGAAATGTCTTCAAAGAAAAAGAAAAGTCCAGTTGTCTCCTGAAAAAGCACCTTTGGGTCACACTCTATGGCCACATTCCTTGGTAATGGAGTTCTTGGTCTGAATTATTGTTAACAAGTACTACCTGCATTATTCTCATATGATCTGTTATTAACATGGAATCTATTGATCCAATTTTTAATAACTATTTTCTGTTTCAAATATTTCAGAAACATATTATTTATTTGTGATCCTCCCAACAGCGGCTTTGTTTTATTTTTTGCAATGGCAGCAAGAACTGTCTGATTGCTGTTTGATTCTTCCATTTATTTTCTAAATCAGATTTTTTTAAAAAAAATAAACTAGCCTTTTGTGTTACTTGATTATTTAGCATCATCAAAATCTGAAGGTTCCCCTTCACAACGTAATGAAACTGCAGCCAAAAAGAGTGAAGAGAAGAAAGAAGTCTTCAGACCCTGCAAGCCTACGGTAAGGCTCCTTATGGTCTATATCTTTGCATAGCAGACGGTGATAGTTTTTTTTAAAAATTGGATGGCAAGGAAATGAATGAATATGGTGTGATGTTTAATTTTCATTACCTTTGGTCATCTGCACATAACAAAATCAGTTATTTTTATACCATTTTTTATTTCATAATATTTCCAATAACTCCTTCCAAGCAATTAACTCAAGCAAGCAGAATTTAGAACATTAAATAATATCTAAGCGATTTTAGAATTCTTGAAAACTGTGACAGCCAGTCCAAATGTGAGAGCTTTAAGCACAATTACAGGATCTTTTGATGACTGAGGCCTACGTTATCATGGAGCCAAGAAAGTGCCTCCAAAGGCGATGATAGCGCAAAGTGAATAGGGCACAGAGATGGGTAGAGTTTGACTTTTGTTTCCAGCCAGCTTCTTGGAAGGATTTTTGTTTTGTTTTCATAACTACTAAACTTATTTAAGGAATTATGCTATTATTTTTATAGGACATTCAAGACCAAGACATCCAGTCATTCTTAACTCATTAGAGAAAGCAATGGGTCTTACCTATGTAAATGCTACTCATGAAAACAAGAAGTTTTCAATTTGCAACCATTTTTTCCTGAAAACCCTATTGAGTTGCCTTTAAGTCTTTTGCCCAATCAACACTGGCACCCTTCCATTCAACAGATACGATGTACTGAAAGGCCAATCTGTACATTTAGTAAAAAGACAGCCATTTCTTCTTTCTCCTAGCTGAATTTCATCCAGCAGTAAAAGGGATATTGCCTTTCATTTCTATAACTAAACCTGTACTCATAGTTTCCCACAATTATGGTTTTCCCATACATTAAAATTAGCTTGTTTATTTATGCACTAATAGAAAGCTTTTTTGAAGATCAGTGGGGCCAAATCTAATTTGATTCAAATATTCAAAAAATTAATTTGTCTCCTTAAATCTTGCATCTGCCTTTTTCTTCCCATTGATATCATTTTGACTTTTTGTGGAAGGAGTCAATTTGTCTGATTCAGCACAGATGTTTTTGGTTTTTGATATTACTGTTTCTTATAAAATTTAAAGAAAAATAGAGAAAAACAAACTTCTACTTTCCATTATCCTGATTCTTATTTATAATCCTATGTCACACTTTTATTTCATGCTCTACTTTCTTACTCCTTCATTTAAAATTTTAAGTAAGCCACTGCTGTAATTTTAAGACCCAAGATAACTGGATTAGTTCCTGAATTAATGTTGCATTTTAGTTATGTATTTCATTCCTTCATTTAAATGTTTAAATAAGCTAATGGTATAATTTTAGTATGTGAACTTCCAAGATAAGTGCCTTAATTCCTGTACTAATTTTGTATTTTACCTTTCTTTCCCAACCATGCACCATACCTTGGTCCAATATTGATTTGCTTATTTTGACATGTGACTGATCTTCAGGGAGAAGTGGTAAGTAGTGTTAATTTATGGAATAACTTCAAATTTTAACATGACTTAATTTAAATTTACAAAACTTCCTATCCTCTTCTTCCACATGTGGCCATTTGAAACTGCCCAAAGAAATCTATGGAAACTCAGGGACTATTGTGAGCAAAACTGGGCAGAATATAGCAGGTATTAGAGGGAAGGGATTATATGATAAAGCTAAATTAAGGAAGTTTATAGAAAAGAAATGCATTAAGTTATACCCATGTACTATCTCATGAGATGTTAAATTTTCAATCTTTCTGTGAAGTTATATGAAATGAGTTTTGCTTGATTTAATTATATTAGAATTAAAGCATTAAAACATATACCAGTTTATGAGTATTTACTAAAATAATTTACCAATTGTAGAATAAAAGTATCAAATAATGGGATCCAGTTCTTGGAAAAAGCTGTTGAAACAGGCAGTGCTCATCATTAATTTTGCAACATTATTATGATATGATTTTTCCCCTAGGATTTAACTGCTTTAGCAAAGGAATTGCGGGCAGTAGAAGATGTACGACCACCTCACAAAGTGACAGATTATTCATCATCAAGTGAAGAATCAGGAACCACAGATGAGGAGGAGGATGATATGGAGCAAGAAGGAGTTGATGAATCTACTTCTGGGCCTGAAGATGCCAGAGCAGTGTTAGTTACATTTTTCCTATTTCCTTTATTAAAGAACCTTTGTAATTTATAGGGTTGTCCTTTTTAGCATATACTTCTAAAAAATAAACTTTAAGAAAAAATGTATAATAAACTGAGAAAAATAAAAGGCTAAGTCTATGCTAACTAGAGGGACACATTGGCTCAGTGGCTAAGACGGTGAGCTTGTTGATCAGAAAGGTCAGCAGTTTGGTGGTTCAAATCACTAGTGCTGTGTAACAGAGTGAGCTCCCCTTACTTGTCCCAGCTTCTGCCAACCTAGCAGTTTGAAAGCATGTAAAAAATGCAAGTAAAAAAAATAGGAACCAGCGTTCCATGCACCTTCGAGGTTTAGTCATGCCAGCCACATGACTACGGAGACATCTTCAGACAGTGCTGGCTGTTCGGCTTTGAAACGCAGATGAGCACTGCCCTCTGGATTCGGAAACAACTAGCACATATGTGCGAGGAGAACCTTTATCTTATGCCAGCTACCACTTAGTTAGCTATGCTAACAATACCAATTTGTTTAATTCCATAATCTCTTAAAAGACAGGTCTTTCATGAATATGTAATGAGTAATTCTTTAGAAAGTCCATAGTTGCAGTTATTTTAATATTGTAGTGAATCTTGGATATTGAAGCCCCAATGATAAAATGTCATCACCACACAGATCCACTTTGAACCTCAGCAATGGAGAAACGGAATCAGTGAAAACAATGATTGTGCATGATGATGTGGAAAGTGAACCTGCGATGACTCCTTCCAAGGAGGGCACTTTAATCGTCCGACAGGTAATGTATCTTTCAGTATGTAATTTGTTCCTTTTCATCAGTTCATTCATTCTCTCATTTATCTTTTCCCACTTTAAAATTGGTTAGAGACCCAGATGGTAGCCATTTATGAATAAACAGACTTAGAGCATGCAAAGAGAACACTAGTTTTCACCCATTATTTCACTGTGTGTTGCATGCATACTTTGGAATGACTGTTGTCCGATTCTACAGTGTTTATTTTAATCTCTTCTAATGTGGAATAAAAGAAAACTGTAGATGTCGTAGCAGGAACCTGGTATAAAGCCAGTAGCATTTGTATCACTTCTGATAGCATCTTAAGAGAAGGTAAAAAAAAAAAAATCAAGTGGTGAGACAGCTCTAAGACAGTAAAATAAGGATCATCTAGTTCATTTTAAATCACTTACAGTTACACCACACTATCTCACTGAAGAGTTCAACCAGCTTACACAAGACATTTCCTATCTTGGCAGGTTTCAAGACCAAGGCAGCTTATCTTAGGAAATGTTGCGCCATAGTCTTGGTGTCATGAGAGGTTATGTAAGAAACGGTTGAGAAAATGCCTCTGTTCCCTTGAACTTCCTGGTATATTAGCTTAGGTACATCAAAGGTCATGAACTACATTTCTTATTTTTCAAGTGAACATCATTTTTGTAATTGAGCCCCCGTATTTAGATGGCATAATGATAATTTAAACAGCTAAATTAGGACATTCGCTGGAATGATAATTGAATGCAAGCATGATAGCAAGAAAAGTCACAAGGAGAATGCACACAGGTGCCATCATAGAGGTGATCTGTACAAACTTCAATTTGCCAGTAAAAAAATTGGCTTTGCAAGAAAAAAAAATTAATATAGTAAGCCCCACTCCCCTTGTTTGATTAATGCATTGGTTGAAACATTTAAAATAGATCATTTTGCTAGGGGCATAGGCTTGTACACAGCACTTGAGCAAGACAAGTGTGCCTGTTTTTTCTACAGAGTACAGTTGACACAAAGCGTGCCAGCCATCATGAGAGCAATGGCTTTGCCGGTCGTATTCACCTCTTGCCAGATCTCTTACAGCAAAGCCATTCCTCCTCTACTTCCTCCACCTCCTCCTCCCCATCCTCCAGCCAGCCGACACCCACCATGTCCCCACAGACACCCCAGGACAAGCTAACTACTAATGAGGTATGTCTTGCACCACAGCTGGCTGCTTTCACAGGGTTATAAATGTATTTCCTAATAGCTAGCATCCAGAGGATTTCCAACTAGTGTCCCTTCTGCTGCTCTTCTTCCTGTCACTGTCCCTTCACTCCCCCAAAGTAACACATTTCAGCTCTTTATGTCCCAACATTCTGAACTATAGAATTTTTTACCCCAAATTTGCCAGTTGCCTACTATTTTGTTTTGCTTTTTACAAGTGATTAATTGCATGGCTTTTGTATCACCTAAACCAAGTGTTTTTATCAGTCTTTCTTTCAAAGCTATTTTGGGAAGAGTGTCTAAAAGTAATCCTAGTGTGATTGGCTTTTTCAAGTAACAACGCTGCCTGATTGAGCACAGTGCTGGAAAAATATGCACCTAGAGAGTCGTTGCTTTGGAAAAAGATGCAGTGTATTACAAAGGAAGTTTTTTTTCCATCTAACCATAAGTGGAACCTTTAGGGAAAATATTAATATAATAACTAGTTTCTTTTTATGAATTATTAAATTTGTTTTATTTTAGAAAGTTAGTTAAAATGAGCTGTCTTTGTTTTTAACATATGGTTCTTCTCTGACAGGAGACTATAAAATAGGAGGCTGTTTTCCCAGAATACAAATACCTTTTCAGTTTGCAGGCTATTAAGAGATTTAAAATGTCATCTGCTGGCAATAAAGAAGATAGGTTAAATTACTGCATGTGAATTCTTCTAAATACAAATTTTAGCTCAGGAGCAGTTTCATTTCATTCTGTAGGCTAACACTTTACTCAAACAGACTCTTCATGTTTGAAGCTGTTTTGAAATTGCTTACTGCATGGAAGTTAAATACCCCTGTTTTCAACCACTTAGAGCAGTGGCCCCAATCTTTGCATCCCGGCGGCCTTGCGAGGGGGGAGGGGAACCAGGCCATATGAGTGGCAGACCGGTGTACACATGTGCATGTGCAAATCAACTTGTGCAAGTGGTGGACCAGAGCGTGCAGATCAACCTGTGCAAGTTGAGCTGCGTATGTGAGTGCACATGTGCTGGCTCACCATTCACGCAAGTTGAGTGAGCGTACAAATGCACATTAGCCCACTCACACTGCCTGGTTCCGAATAGGCTACGGCCTGGTAGTGGACCTTAGCCCAGGGGGTGCAGGCTCTTTTTCAGATATTCAGTCAGAAGCAAAGCATGCCATAACAATAATAGGCTAATCCTTGTAAAATCACCACAAGATTTAAGACAGTTTAAATGGCATACAACTAATCACAGGATGCTTAAAACTGTAATGGCAGCTCATGTTTAGTAATGCGAAAAGGCAGTCTGGCAACTAATTGGGTAATTTTCTGGCAAAAATGTCTACCATTTAAATTCTCAGGCAAAACTTTAATTGTAGTTTGAGGGGTTTGTTCTGAATTAAATTTTGAGATGAAATCTTCACCCAGCTTCCAGCTTTGTAAGAGAGAGTGGTTAATAAACCACAGTAGGTATACCTTGTAAACAGCAGTTAGTTAAACAGCAGTTAGATTATATGCTTCATTACTTCCTAAGAGTGATTAACAGTGAATTCCCGGGCAATGCTACTTACTTATTTCACATTAGAAAAAAGGAAATCCATATATATTGCTTTTTAAAATCATAGAGGCATTTTCAACCATATGAAGCATAGTGATGTTGCTTGTCTAGTAATCAGTTAAAATATCTGTAAATAAATCTATTTCTCTATTTAATATAGAAATTATGGTAAATGACTAAAAGTTCCTAAACATTTTAGAAATAGATGTAGATTCAGATAACAAAACAAATACTATGTAGCATGTGCTGTTTCCTCTTAAGATCAGATGCATTTAACAAGTCATGGATACTTTGTCCATTTAGTACACGGGTCCTCAAACTGGCCGGCGGGCTGGATACGGTCTGCTGATGCCATTAATCTGGCTCATACAGGACAGTGGTGGGTTCTGGATCCTGTTGCAACCAGTACGAGTGTATGCGTACTTACCTCTTGCAACGTGAGCAAGAGGTAAGTACGCACTGGGTGGAGTGTCGCGCAGGCACCGTGCGCTGACATGCAAAAGCACCAAAGACCTCAAATAGAGGTAAGGAGCTCGGGTATGCCCTCAGGAGCACCATACCGGAACGGTACCCGGTGCTCCGGGCTGGCACCGGTACGCCCATACCGCAGCATACTGCCTGCAACCCACCACTGACACAGGACCATAAGGCTGCCCCACAAATATCACCCCACCTACTTGCCAGCCGCCACCTGCCTTCTGGAGATTGAGGAGGCCACAAATGGGATGCATGGAGACCCTGAGAGGCCAAAAACAGGCCTGCTTTTGGGAAGCAAAGTGGTTCTGGAGGCCAAGGACACCAAAAACAGGACACTAAAAATGAGCCTCCCCAGCCTCCGGGGAGGGGAGATATAGACATACACAAACACACAAACAGAAGCCCCCCCCCCCCAAGGTAGCCACATCCCTTCACTAACCTGCTTGCACACCCAGGAACATAACAAATTAAAGTTTAATGTGTGTGTATTGTATAATGGACTGGTAAATTGGCCACGCACACAGAGTCACATGATCACCTAGCCACACCCACCCAGCCAGTCTGGCTCCCAACAGTCTGAGGGACTGTGAATTGGTCAGAAATAAATATGATATATCCAGTTCTAGACTCTCAACTTAGGCCACTTTCATATTTTCCTAACTTCTTTGTGAGTGTTAGTTCCTAGCATACCACTTCCTAGTTACACCTACTATTAAGAGGGTTCATTGTTTGATTAGTTGTATAGTTTATACATTTAATCTTCTTATGAAATGAAACACATGATACCCAAGGATGCTCTCAACTGAACAGAAAGGCTATCTTCTTTTCTGAAATGAATTGAAATGTTGTCAAGTTGCTAAACTATAAAAGTAATTATGGTTTATGTCAACACTTAGGTAATATCAGTATGTAATGAGGAATTCTGTATCATATAATGGCCAGTTCTGTTTAAATGTTCTATCAGCAAAGTAGATAAAAATGCAGTTTGTGCAGTTGTTGTGAGCAATATGCTAATTCTGTAAACTGCTTAGAGAGGGCTGTAAAACACTGAAGCAGTATATAAGTCTTGTTGCTATTGCAGGTATTAATGATAAAGATCTCCCTAATTCTTTTTTCTAATAAAGTTTTTAAAAATAAGATATTTATACACCATTTGATACAAATTAGTTGTAGAAAATGGTTTTATTCTACTAATGAAAGCTTCATTTATTACTGCGTTTCCCAAAAATAAGACAGGGTCTTATTTTCTTTTGCCCCACGAAATATGGCCTTGGGCTTATTATAGGGGGAGGGCTTATTATTTTCTGGGGCAGGTGAGAAACGAGGCGCGCCTTTCACCTTTCCAGCTCCGTTGCATTCCTCGCCATTGTGTTCAGGGAAGCTGCTAGTAAAAAAAAACCTTCTTGCGAGTTCAATCAAACTTCTTAAAGTCGCGAGATGGGGATTTTTTTTACCAGGGGCTCCCCTGGACACAATGGTAAGGAACGCGACGGACCTGGAAAGGTAAAAGGTGCGCCTCGCTTCTCACCTGCCCCAGAAAATAATAAGCCCTCCCCCTATAATAAGCCCAAGGCCATATTTCGTGCGGCAAAAGAAAATAAGAACCCTGTCTTATTTTCTGGGAAACACAGTATCAAACGTTTACCCAAATCCCTCCCCCCAGTTACCCTCGCCTAAATGGCCAATCTCCAACCCCCCAAGGGTGTCATGTGGGGTGCATCTTCAGGTGGCCTCATCCAGCTGGTATGCAGGGATGGTTGACCTTGACCAAGCCCGAACATGAGCCTTCAGCTTGCGCAGAAGATGGTGAGGACAAAACTCCCTCTTTCGAGATCTCAACACCCGCACAATTCCCCTCCCAAATACCATAAAACCCCTCCCTCCCCG